TTCAGGGTTGGCATACAAAGGTTAAGTCCCTCTGACAAGATACATTTCAGAATGAGATTCATTTTTTCAACAGTTCATAGGGAAGAAAGAACTGCAATATTGGATTGGGGTAATACTTACTCTTGAGGGATCTATTTTTCAGTAACTAAAAGATTTTGCTAGGCATACACTGCAGTTTGCACACATGATCACATCTGTCCCCTGCTAAGGAGGATGTGACAGTTACACGGGCCTGCAGGTTCTAATCTGCCTTCACACTTCCTTGAGCCGCAAGAGAGTGGGCCCATGACCGGAGCAAAGAGACAACGGCCGCCAGAACCTCAGTGTTTACAGCTGAGCATTTTCAGGCTGGATCTCGGGGAGAAGTCCCCGGAGGATTTTTAACACATAAAAAGGTCCATCCCTTGCCAATAACTATCCCTTTAATCCTAAAGAGCCTACTCAAAACAGAAAGCAAAGCAACCTAACAGTCGTTGCTGCTGAAATGAATGTAAATACTCGTTATTATCTAACTAATATTTATATTGATATTCATTTTAGAATGTGTTTATTTTTGCATATTTTTTACACATCTTTAAGCTGCAGTTTTCACAGTGTGAACTGAATCTAACATAATGCATTAAGTGATGACCATGATTTGATTATGTAACGATGTGGCACGCTATGGGTGATGGCAGAAGAAAGTAAGGCAAAGAGCTATGGGGCGGAGCTCCAGTTGCTGGTCTAAGTAGCTCTGTGCTTTAATCCAAAACAGGAGATACGGGTGAGAAAGTAAGAAGCCCTGTTGTCACCAGATCCTTGGGGTGGTGCCCCTCCAGCCAAAAACCTCCGTGGCTGGTGGTGCCTTCTGCCCGATTATTTCTCACACCCACTGGGCTTCTTCTGCCCACTTAGCCCAGCGGGCTATACTCAGCTCACACTACTGACCCCGATCTCACACCTGCCAACAGCAAGCCAGGCATGGAGTAGTGAGGGTATGTGGGCCACTGCACACAGCCAGGCATGCTGGCACATGAGTGAGCACCGGGTTTGGCCCCTGTGTATAGCCGGGCACACCCACTGCTGTGGCAGCACAGACAGCTCCAGGTGCCAGCACAGCTACCAGCTCCGTGTGAAGCTACAGCTGGACCCGATGTACCACACACGGCTTCTGCTACAGGCACCCGCATCTGGATGTGCAGAATGCAGTGGTGCCGCGAAGCTCGGAGACACCAGGAACCACAGAGCCTCAAAGAGAGTGCCATAGCGCTGGCTTGGGGAGCCCCTAGGTCTGGTCTCCGAAGCGCTGCAGCTCTTCCCTCCTTCTCATTGCCCACAACGTGGAGAGCAGGGGAGGTGCTTTTCAGCCCTGTTTGTGTTACAGCTTTCAGTCCCACCATCATGTTCTGAGTTCTCTTCCCGTGTCGAGGAAGAATGAGGTACACAGACAACTGTAAGTTGAGCAAAGTGGAGAGGAGCTTCACTCAGTGACAGAACAGCTCTCAGGAGACCCACAGTGAGCAGCTCCTTCCCACAAGCAGGGCGTCCCAAGGAGTTCCCAGCTGTCAGCGGAGAGGAGACCCACAGTGGGTAGTCTGGATATCTAGTGGAGTCTGGCAGGAACCACGTTTTTTATTATCTCAGACGAGATGGAGGGCATGCCGATTGGTCCGTGGGTGGCCAAGGGCAGACCCAGAAAAAGCACTGTAAGTTCTCACTCCAGTCCATGGACTATCTGAACTCATAGCCCCGCCTCCAGGTTTCAGATCATCCCTGGCTTGAAGGTGGGGCTTCACTGGGGACCTGCCCTTTTTTGCCCTGGAGCGCATCTGCCTCCTGCCACCATCGATATGTCATCCATGGTGCCCAAGCTGTTCATGTTGAGGGGCACCTGCAGGCCTACGCTGAACCACCCTCAGCACCCCCTCAGCCTCCCTCCTATGCTCATCTATGCACAAAGTTCAGAGAGGCCTGAGGTGGCAGGGGAGCTGGCTTTTCAGCACCACCCTGAATCCACATACAGCCAGGTGTGACAGCACCTGGGTTTGGCCACAACTTTGCTTCAAAACTGCAGTGGGCGCTGGAAGTGGGGAGAGGCCGGGGAGCAGGAGCAGGCACTTCTGAGCCTGCAGGGGAAGGGGGCGGGCTTCCAAGAGTGCAAGGATGCCCAGGTCAGAGCTGTGGCTGCACAGCTGTGGCTGTGCCTGGGAGTGGAGGGGTCGCATCTGCTAACTCGGGGGCGGGGGCGGGGGCGGGGGCGGGGGAGCTCTCACCTGTTCCCAGCTCTCTGCAACCCCTTGGAGCATGCAGCCCCGGCCACGCCCCCCCTGCTGCAGCTGGCTTCTTCACAGTGGCTGTTCCAGACAGGTCATTGCTGCCATCATTGTGCTAATTTCCAGGGCAGGACTGATGGTACAAGAAAAGGCTAAAACATAGGAATAAAATGTAGAAGTACCCAAATGCTAGATTTGTTCTGAAATACAGTTTAATTTTTATTGTATTCACTTATAGCTTTTTTTTTTTTTTTAATGTTACCATTATTCCTACAGGAATAAATAACTTGGCTCTCATGCATCTCAAATTATCTGGCCCTCTTTCCCTCTTTGGAACAGTGGGTTTCAAACTGGATTTTTCAATGATTCGAGGTTTCTTTGCAGTGTAGCCATTGCATTAGAGCAGAACAGACTATGAATGCAGTATCTGTAGCGGTATCTCAGAAACACAGATGCTTATAGAGAGGATGGGTATCTTTAGACTGGCTGAAATAGAAGAGGAAAAGGCATGTTCATGGAATAAAGAGTAGCAGATTTCTTAAATACATAAGCTCCTGTTTCCATGTGTACTTGAAAGGTAATGCCCAAGTAACCCAGAAGTTACATCTCTGTGATGGTATGCATGTTGTGATTCATATATGCACATTGCCACCTCCACGTGGCCGAGGTTAGCATTGGGCTCGGTTTGCATTTTAAGCATAGGCTACTAAGTCAACATTCAGGAGCAAGCTAGACGTGTGCAGGCTATCAGATACTGAGATCGAGTCACACATGGAAACAGCAGAGTCAGCCGGTAGGGTTGTGAACTTACTGTTTATTCATAATAAGGCAGGCTTGAGGTTACGCTACTAACTGGTCAGCTCATTCCTTTGTTACTCAGAGGATCTTATCCTTCGTGCCCGAGTTAAAATATTCCCTTCCTTGGAGAAGACACAGAATTGCTCCTCGTCTGGTCCCTTCATTGTGCTCACGTACCTGCCATAGCAGTTGTTTTATTATCATCATGTGTTGTCATGTTTCCTGAGGCGAGAGAAAGGGAACATCATTTCTTTTCACCTTTATGTGCCCAGGCCTAATACCTCTTTGGCCCCCAACAATTCGTTGCTGAATGAATGCACCAAAAGTTATTTAAAAACTAGTTATCAAAAGCGTCTTGAAATAGGTCATGAGATGATCACACCGCTGTTTTAAGTTCCATGCATATTGATGAGTATGTGGCAGGATTACAGATTTGGGTGGGGAAGAAAATAGGAAAATGTATTTCAGGGCACGTAGGCCTTATGGAACCATTGGTAGAGCGCTTTTCAAATTTTCAGTTAACAACGCCTTCATCTTTTAAGACTTTGTAAGCTGGATCAGTGCCAAGAATGTCTTTCATGAATAAGCTGTAAACCAGTGGAAAATGGGATTTATGAATTCTGAGTTTGCTGGTGCTACTTATATTGCTCCTGTCAAGGATTACAGTTTTTAAAATGTTTGTAAGTAGTTAGCATTAAATTCCTGCTTTCTTCTGCAGAAAGAAATGACTGTACCTTGGGACAATATGCTTTTTTTTTTTTACCTTTTGAGACGGGGTCTTGTTCTGTCGCCCAGGTTAGTGTACAGCGGCCTAGTCATAGCTCACTGTACCCTCAAATTTCTGGCCTTAAGTGATTCTCCAAACCTTGGCCCCCCGAACTACTGAGGTTATAGGCATGAACCACACACCTGGCTGGGACAATATGCTTAATGATGAGGAAAGACATAGGATTAAAAGGAGTGTGATCACGATTGGGCTGAGGAATGAGCTGCTGGTGCCCTGTGCGTTCTCAGTTCACGGGGTAAGGAAACTTTTTAGTCTAGGCCTAACCCATTTAGGAAACAACTGTTGCAATTGTGGGTCATTTTTAATTTGTGTCTTTTTTATAATCCTTTTACCACCAAATCTCTTGCCAGGTTAAAAGTGGCCTAATTACCTGTGAAATACTTAGGACTTTTGGAAAATGTGCTTCCTTTAGCGGGCTCCTCTTTGCACAGTTCTAAAATAACTCACTTGAGTCCTGAATTCCATCTTACTCAGTTACTCTGTTTTCCAGGATTTCCCTTCTGAGAGATTAACCTCTTACTGTGCGCTGTGAACGTCGAACAGGTAGAAAGGAAGCCTTCCTTGCTCAAGATAATAACTCTGCTATTTCTTGATAGCTGGTAGGGCACATTGACAGCTAATCGATAGCATAGCCAGTAGCAGAAGGTTTTAGGAAACAACGTGAGTTGTGCTTCTACAACCTAAAATTAGTCATACTTTTCTTTAGAAATTTCTTTTTCCCTTCTGAAATCAACCCCCAAGTTCTTCAGGGCAGAAGAAATTTAAACTCAAGTGATATATTCAAATAGCCTCAAATCTATGGAAATCCCATTCCAATAAATAAATACTGTCAGCCCTTGCATTGTGATCTTTCTTCAGCCGAAGCTGGTCCAGGTGTAACTTAACATAGCCTAAAGGAGGAATGCGCTTTACTCTTTGTATCTAATCTGCGTCAGTCTGGCAGCGAAATTTGGCGGATGTAGGGATGTGGATGGACACCAACACCAGATGAAGCCCACGCAGGTGCTCCTACTTCTAAGTAGCGTCTTTGTAACTCAGCTCACAGCCCCGATAGCCCAGCTCTTTAATCATTGGTGCGCTCCCTTTGAACCTTTTCCATGTTCTCTGGAGTGCATGGTCAATCTCTGTGTGTACTGATCATGCATATCCCCGCTTTGTTACAGGTGGACTGTGTCCGGGGTCCAACGATCCTTGTATGGAGAAGCCGTGTCCAGGGGACATGCAGTGTGTCGGTTATGAAGCCAGCAGGCGACCGTTCCTCTGCCAGTGTCCACCAGGGAAGCTCGGAGAGTGCTCAGGTGCAGACTGGAGTGGAATGATGAGGGTCTCATTTCCTATTCCTGAAACACTTGCTCTTGAGTAAATTACACCCTCCAAGTCCTCCCAGAAAACGTTTCTTTATGCATGCAACATTTTCCTTTAGAATGGACCCCAGCTAACATTCACACTCACATTTACTTAGGATGTATCACAGATGCAGCTTGTGCTAAGGGAACACGTAAAAACTGAGAGCTTCTTACGCAATGGAGAGACTACAACATGTGTTTTTTTAATCACATCTCATGGCTGTTAAGGATGTGAAATAAGGGAAAATAAAAGGTTGGGAAGAGGCATTGGAGTATCTGTGGCATGACCTTTGATGCTCAGGGTGCTGCAAAATCCAGTCGCACAACCAAGATCCACAGAAGGCAGAGCTGACCCAATCCTGTTGACCTTCCTTAGAGTCTGCCCCATCTAGTGAACCAAGGAAGCTGACTCCCTACTGGAAATGTGTAACTAACGTCATGTTCCAGAAGGAGAGGTGCTCAGCCCTGCATCTTCAAGGAAAAAAAGTCAGTATTTGTGTTATTTTAATCCAAATGGTCCCGTTTCTGATCTTTACTCAATGTCTATACTTCATTTATGGATTCATATGTTCTCTGCCAATTGTTTCCTCACAAAAAGAGTATTCTTCATTTGGGGTACCAATAGAATCCTCTTTAAGTGTATGTAAAATATAGGCACCTTAACAACAACTTTGGAATCTAATAAATAGTTGGAATAAAAAAAAAAACAGAACTATGCCTAGTATGTGCGAGGCACCGAGTTCCAGAAATTCAGCCTTTGCAAAGAGAAGCGCTGTTCTTAAAAGTGGAAGCCAAAGCTCCTTCATAGCCGATTTCAAGAATGCAGCTGCAATTAAGTAAAGTGACCACCTGGATGCTTACCTAAGTCATCTAAGGCTTAGAATTATAAGAAAAAAATATGCTGCCCCTGTTTCTACATATGCACTGTGTACAGAGCAGGTCGATGTGTAGGGAGATCATAAAGCCACATTTTCTAGCTTCTGGAGTCACTTCCTGCTGACTCGTCTACCTAGAAAACTTCTGATTGTCTATAGTTATTGTTCATTTGGTAGATTTCCACACATTCCACCTTTCACCGCAAGAAGGCAGCCTTTTCAGCCATTACTTTGCCTGTGTAAAACAAAGTTGTAGGCAATGTAAAAGGAGTGATCTTAGAATTGAGCAATTGATTTGGACTACATTCAAGGGAACTGCAAAATTAATGGTCAAAAAGTGAAATTGTAACGACATGAATTTCCTTTGTATCAAGTTACCTTTTTGCAATATTACTGCAAATGACAAATTAGTCATTAGAATACTTGGGGAACACGGGTATCTCTTGACAATGGTTTTGTTTCGTTTCATGGAGCTGAAAGTTCTTTAACGTCTGAGTGATTGGGAGTTGGGGGAAGCACGAAGGGATATCTTAGTAATGCTCATTTTGGAAAGTGGGAGTAGGAAATTTAGTAACATTAAAAGAAATCCAAGTTGTGGAATTTATGAAGTGGCCCTTGGCATGAGGCAAGTAAGGCGACTTTGGTGGCTGACTGGTTAATAGTTATTTCTCTTCGAAATGGAGAACCAGTTTTTAATCAAAAATGTTTTCTTCTCTGTGCCTTTATTAACTTCTCATGCATTGTCTTTAATCATCTTGCTTGGTGGTTGTTGGGTGATTTCCTGTATCTGCTCCTTTCTGGATGTTAAAAATATGTATGTCTTCTCATAATGGTCTTTTCAGGGCACACTTCTCTCAGCTTTGCTGGAAACAGTTACATCAAATATCGGCTTTCTGAAAATAGCAAAGAGGAAGATTTTAAACTCGCTCTGCGTCTTCGAACCCTGCAAAGCAATGGGATTATAATGTACACCAGAGCAAATCCCTGCATAATTCTGAAGGTAATTAAAATGCGTTATCTTTTCCTGCAGTCAGTTCTCATGTTAGTGTTTTGGCTCTTGGATCGGGGAACGGCTGAAATCATTTTGTCTCTTAAGTTCAGAAGACCAGAAGCAGACTTCTGGGCAAAGCGGAGCAGCAGCAGAACTGGGAAAGAAGCCAGCATCCCATTTCCTTTTGAACATTCAGCTTCAAAATTGGCTCTGGGTACATGGGGCATCTCTCTTGAGAGCGGGTTCAAGGGCTGGCCTCCTTTGAGCTGTCATCGCTCAACAGTTCATTAGGATGTGTCTCCTAATCAATTCCACAACAGGGGTGGTCCTTTAAAAGGATTGGCCGTATCCTTTTCTACCACATGCATCTATCCCCACTGACTTTTGAAGGCAACTTCTGTTCTTGCTCAGGGAGGCAATGGGAGGCATGGGGTATAGACGATTTCCTATGTCCTATCATGACTTAAGTAGCCTAATTTTTCCATCATTTGCTAGCCTCAGAAACCCTCCTAAAGCAGCCCGATTACTTCTAGAGCAAGTCTGACATTTATATTCAGCTCAAGGATTCTGGTGCCTTTATGAAAACAGTAATAATGGTCATGGACCAGGCACGATGGCTCACACCTGTAATCCCAACACTTTGGGAAGCTGAGGCAGGTGCATCACATAAAGTCAGGAGTTTGAGACCAGCCTGGCCAACACGGTGAAATGCTATCTCTACTAAAAATACAAAAATGAGCCAGGTGTGGTGGTGGGCACTTCAAATCCCAGCTACTTGAGAAGCTGAGGCATGAGAATCCCGTGAACTTGGGAGGTGAAGGTTGCAGTGAGCTGAGATCATACCACTGCACAGTAATCTGGGTGACAGAGTATGGCCCCATCTCCAAAGTAAAACAAAACACAGACCAACTGACAGAGTAATAACAGCTTCATGTGCCTCATTTATTTTTCTTACACGGCTAATGTGACACGTTTGTTATATGTTATCCCCGTTTGATCAAGAAGAGGACAGTGGTTCAGAGAGGTTAAGTTACTTACCCAAAGCTGCACATCTAATACGTGGTGAGGCCTGAATCCCACAGTGTCGTCTGTGTCACTCCGTGCTGTGAATGTCCATACTCTCCGTCACTCTCCCTCTTGCTACTATGACTCATTTTATGAAAAATCGCATTCTGGGCCTCTGTAGCCCAGATTCAGCCTTCTAGTATGGAGGAAAGCCAGCAGGAGAAGGAAGGTGACGTGTTTCATCTCATGCTGTTCTCACCAGCCTGCTGTGTCAGCCCATCGTAAATGCTCTTCAGAAACATTTGGAGTTCGTCCAGTGAAAAATGCCCTTTCACATGGAAAGGGCTAGAAATCTTTTGCTTCCCAGGGTTCGGGTTTGAAGGGTACGTGGTAGACCTTTCCACAGCTTTTGTCCTTTGATTGTTTGATAGGTCAGCTCCAAGTTGATTAGGTGGCCCAGGCTTTAATCCTAAAGGCAGATGAAGGAGAGAAACAGAAGATTAAATGCCAGTGGGCTTCTCTTAGTGATCACATAGGCTTTTATTTACCCCCGTCTGGTATTGCCAGATATTACTTGGTGGCCACAGCTGCTGGAGAAGGAAGTCAACGTTTAAAAGTTGGCTACTTTTGTAAGCAGTCTCCCACTATCCTTATTCATTCAACACAGACTAATTTGAGTTCTGGAAAGGAAAGTCATGCGTTGCAAAGAAAATAAGCAAAGCACTTCGGATGCACAGTTTTAGAGAATGATGCATTCAGATCAGATATTCATGGTGAAAGAAGAAAAACTCGAAAAACCTAGGTCCTGCCTTTATTTCCCGTGGCCCTGGAAGCAAGCTGCCTTGGGTCAGTAGAGCCTTTTCTAAATGGCGCCGAGAGTTGGGGTTTTGTATAATTGCTGGGAAAGTGCTCTGAGCATTCAGAGCTACCGGCTCTTAGGGCTCTGCTTGGGCCTTACTGACCTTTCTCTCTCCTCCTTCCCGCTCTAACAGGGCTGGAGACTGAAAATAGTTTCTATTAGTCAATCTCTTATAGAGCATTAAATTTTAGGTAGAACCAGAAGATTGACCCTGAATGGTTTGATCCTAAAATGGAGCTTGTCATTTGACACTTCACTGGCCAAAGTCTAAAACGTGCAGATCCCTGAGGATAGGAAAGAGTCATTAAGCCTTTAAGGCAGCTCCAGCTCCTAAGGTATATCGCATTTCATGAAACAAGCATGTTTCTGAAAGTTGTGTAAATTGAATCTCTGTAAATGGAATTCTAATAAACTAGAGATGGATGCTATTTGAAGGAACCCTCCATTAATCCCTTTGTGATGTGAATAATCACTCCCAATCTGTCTGTTCTGTAAGTTTGCTTTTCATATGTTGGGTTTGCCCAAAGCAGGACACAGCTGTACTAAAGTATTGCGGTGGTTATTCTCCTGCAGTCACCAGGAATATCCACTAAGGGGATTTGAATCTGTTTGCTTAACATTTTCAGCCTCATGCAAGATTTAATTTCCTTGGCTTTAGGTACAGTTATATGCCTTGCACTTTGGTTCAACAACTAAGCTGAAATGCTTTGTTTAAATTGCACCTCTTGGTTATTTCTATTTTTCTGGTTAGCGCACATTCTCTAAAAAGTACTTAAGATACTCAGTGGGGTGAATGGCGCCCCTTACAGACAATAAAGAATTGCAGAAAGACTTCGAGAAGTAAAAATGCTCACAAAGAATATCACTGTCTCTCGGCAACAATAAAAGGCATTCATTCTTCTGTTTACCATTGATATCCTATCGTCTTCCAACAGAAATTCAATGCTTACCATAAGCAATAAAATTAAACTACCACGAAGATAAAAACACAAGGTTAAGAGCCAACCAATGAAGTTGAGGAGAGTAGAATATCATTATTGGAAAATCTAGACCAAGGGCAACTCCTTCAGCAGAGCCCAAACCATAACCGAGTTTCCTGGCAGCCAAGGCAACAATGAAAATGGTCAGATAGGCTCTGTGACTCTCCTCATACCTAGAAAAGAAACATGGCATTCTTTCTCAAGGGGAGATCTAGACAAGATTTTTTAGAAAGACAAAGAAAGAAACACGTCAAATCACCGAAGAGATGTAAGGAGAAATCACTAGGAGAACACTTTAATCTCTGTGTCAGTCTTTTAGCTACAGTATTATGGCAAAAGCACAGGAGAATAGGGTTGTTAATATAGCAGCATCTCATGTTTTATTTTGAGGGGAAGTTATAAATGATTCCTTGCCACATTCTGTTGATTCTCAGACAGGGCTAGCTTCAGACCCCTAAACTGAAAGGAAAATGGGGAAAGTTCCTTTGGTTTGTCCAACAGCCCACCTGGCATGGCCAGATCTTTCCAATATAGATCAAAAGAGTAACAAGGAAGCTTCCTACAAGATTTGAGAGTTTCAATGATCTGTTTAAGAATGTCACCAAAAAGTAAGTTAACCTTAATAGTTACATTTTCTAGTAATAATAAAATACCTAAGAGTTTACAAAGTACTTTAACATACATATGGTTTTGACTCTCATTCCCCTTGCATGTAGGTATGATCGTCTTTTTTTTTGCCTGTGAGGAAAGTGAGGCTCAGAGGAAATTCTGTGCCTTGGTCTAAGTGACAGCCAGTCAGTATGACTTTGGGCCTGGGCCTGTGACAGAGGCAAGTAGGTTGGTAGTTATCTTTTGATAAACTAGTTTATCTGAAGAAGAAATTCAGAGGGCTGGGATGACTATGCACTCATTTACTCATTTAAAACGCTTGATGTATGAACCGAATAGCTATTAATGGAAGCCTTAAAAATAGATTTTGTATTTGTTTGTGTGTGGATTGTTTTTTGTTTTTTGAGCTTAGAGCTCACCATCTTACCAGGTTGGCCTCAAAGTGATCACTTAATCCTCCTGCCTCAGCCTCCCAAGTAGCTAGGACTACAGGCACATGCTATACATGGGAAGAAAAAGTTTTTAAAACATCCTCTTTTCAAATAATATGAATCATCCTCTGAAAAGGTACATGATTATGATATATTTGCCATAGCCACACATCAAGGATCTGAAGCAGTAAGACTTCATGCCAAAATTTACCATTTTTTACTCAAAAATCTTCCTTTCCTGTAAAAGTAGGACTTTTATTTCCCCCCCAAAAATTTTTACTTATTTATTTTACTTTAGGTGCATATTGTATCTGGCATTTCTCCCCATGTTATCACTCCCCACCCCCCGCTGTCTCTCCCCTACCCCACCCGGCAGCCCCCAGTGTGCGATGCTCCCTTCCCTGTGTCCACGTGTTCTCATTGTTCGACACCCACCTATGAGTGAGAAGATGCGGTGTTTGGCTTTCTGTTCTCGAATCGGTTTGCTGAGAAGGATGGTTTCCAGATTCATCCAAGTCCCTGCAAAGGACACGAACTCATTGTTTTTTATGGCTGCCTAGTATTCCATGGTGCATCATGTGCTACATTCTCTTTGTCCAGTCTATCATTAATGGTCATTTGGGTTGGTTCCAGGTCTTTGCTATTGTGAACAGTGCTGCAAGAAACATGCATGTGCACGTGTTACCCCTCCCATGTTATCCCTCCCCACCCCCCACTGTCTCTCCCCTACCCCCTGCAACGGTCCCCAGTGTGTGATGCTCCTTTCCCTCAGTCCACATGTTCTCATTGTTCAACACCCACCTATGAGTGATCACATGCAGTGTTTGGCTTTCTGTTCTTGTGTCAGTTTGCTGAGAGTGATGGTTTCCAGATTCATCCAAGTCCCTACAAAGGACATGAACTCAGTTTTTTATGGCTGCATAGTATTCCATGGTGTGTATGTACCACATTTTCTTTGTCCAATCTATCATTGTTGGGCATTTGGGTTGGTTCCAGATCTTTGCCATTGTACACAGGGCTGCAATGAACATATGTGTGCGTGTGTCTTCGGAGTAGAATGATTTATAATCCTTTGCATATATAGCCAATAATGGGATTGCTGGGTCAAATGGAATTTCTTTTTCT